GAACCGATCCTCCTCCAGAGTCTTAATGTATCTGTTAAAAAAAATAAAATAAAAGCGCCACTCGCCTCAGATTTACAGTCTAAATGTTTTTAAAAGTGTTAATAAATAAAAACTGTTAAGTATTGGCACAAAATATATATTTCTTACCAATAGAACGCTGCTAGCCTGGTAAAAAAAAAAAACTTCCTCTTCGTCTCTTTGCTTCGTGGGTCTGGACTCTCGGCGGTTGCTTGCTGGAGGCGTGGCCTCTTTTGAAATTAAAGGAAGGAGGTGGAGCTGGTAAAAACGGTTCACTTTATGGAACCGAATTCATTTGAGTGAATCACTAAAATAATTCGATTCATTTGAGTCCGAGTCCATGCGCTGCACCCTCCCCATTAAAAATGTATATACACTGAACAAAAATATGAACGCCCCATGTCAAATATTGTTGCCATGTTGAGTTAACAACAGTCGATGAGCATTTGATGACATTTTTATTGTACAAAGGTAATTTTCTCTTGATTTGTGTATAATTTTAACTTGCCGTCAGTGAGCATTACTCAGTGAGTTTTTTTATTCAGTGCATGGGTGGGGCATGCCCAGTGGGTGGTCAGACAAAAAGAGCAACAGCTGGACAGACTGGTGCAGTGGTGGAGAAAGTACTCAAACACTGTACTTAAGTAATAGTACAGATAAACAGACAAGAATGTACTCTAGTAAAAGTAAAAGTACCACATTAACATTTTACTTGAGTAAAAGTAAGTAAGTACTTGCTTTTAAAAATACTTAAAGTATTAAAAGTAAAAGTACTTGCTTAATGTATTCCCTAATGGTCTACAATATCATGAAGTGTGCCTACTGTGTGTATATTTTAATACACCAATGGTGCCATTTTAGTGAACAATGCTGCAGATAATGCGTAGTTTTTTGTTTACCCTCTGTGACACTGTTCACACTTGGTGTGATTCTGTGCATCATCACATATTGTGAGAACAGCTGCAGAAGATGTAAAATCACCACCAAACTCCTCTATCAAATCTCATTTTGAACCAGTTAAATAAGGCCATGAATGGCACATTTCCTCCATGGTGGAAACCATTGTGGGTATACTGATGCTCTGCTTTTTTTATGAAGGAGGGTGTAATGGTACTTTCCTGCTTTGTTCAATGGACCAATTAAAGCAATTCCCCCTCTCGCCACTGATTATTTTCTAACAAAAAAATCTAATAAACCACAAATAAAATAAAATAAAATAAAAAATTAATCGACGTGACATGAATGTACTTTGTAATTCAACGCATTACAGAAATGTAGAGGAGTAAAAGTCAAAAGTACCCATGATGAAATCTACTTAAGTAAAATACAGATACATGAAAAATTTACTTAAGTACAGCAAGAAAGTACTTGTACTTAGTTACATCCCACCACTGGACTGGGGTCAATAAAAGGCCACCCCAAAATGTCAATTTTGTCACATGTCATAATGCCTTCAATGTCGTAAGTTATGCAGGAGCGTGCCATTGGCTTGTTGGACGCAGGGATGTCTACCAGAGCAGTAGCTGCAAGGTTCAATGTCCATTATTGGACCACAGCCCGTTTGAGAGTTCGTTTCCAACAGACTGGCACTACTGCAAATCGACCTCATCCTCGTTGGCCACGTGTGACCACTCCAGCACAAGGTCACCACATCCGGCTCTTCATCTGCGGGATCGACTAAGACCAGCGACACAGACAGCTGATGAGACTATTGGTCTGCACAACAGACGCATCAAACCTCTGACTGTGCGTAACCACCTACGAGAAGCCAATTTGCAAGCTCGGCGCCATCACCGTGGTCTGGATCTCACTGCTGTTCGGCGTAGGAACCGACTCACATGGGCGAATGCACATGTCCGATGGCCCTTGGCACGCTGGAGAAGAGTGATGTTCACGGATGAATCCAGGTTCCAGTTGTATCGTGTTGACATGGGGTGTTTATATTTTTGTTAAGTGTGTATATATATGTATATGTATATGTATATGTATGTATATATATATATATATATAT